TGCCAGAATAATTTAAAAGAAATATTAAGAGGTGAGCTTGATGGCTGATTATGGAGGCTCTCTTGTGGTGTTCTTGAACGTGAAAGAAAGGAGAAGAAAGAGGGGGAGAGAGAGAGTAGGAGCTTGAAAATGCTTATTAGCTCATAAATCATATAAAATTAAAAGGGATTAATAAGATATTAATTGGGGATTAATTCTATGATTAAATGACCCCATAACAGCCGGGGGAATCGCTGTAATTAGGGTGTAAAATCATGTGGAAGACAAATAAAAGAGTTGGGTCAACTTCTAGAATTTTCATTCTTTTTCGCGTGCTGTAATATGGTTAGAGACTGCTGGGTGTCCGGATGGTATACTTGTTGGTCTCCGGATCGAATCCGGATACGGAAGCGTGGTGGTGCGGGGAAGAGGCGGATCGTGTATAACAAAAATTTTCATAAAACTTTTGAGATACTCTATAGATTATATTAATTTATGCACGAATAAATTAATCTCATTAACTTATATATATCAAGAACTCAATCAGGAAAAATACCTGGAAGCCGACTCGAATGATAACTTGAGTTCTTTGACCACGAACAGTCCTTGCTCCAATCTTTGGGTTTAGAAAACCAATGTCTTCCACATCAATTCCTAGAATCCACGAAGACGTGTGTGTGGGCACACATGAGACAAAACGGGTTACAATAAACACTCGAATTTCCACAAACACCAACGCATGCACGATGTGAAATTTTTGGAGAAAAAAAATTTTTCCTTCCTCTCTCTCTTGAGAATTTCGGCCAGCCTTAACTCTTGGGGCTAAAAAATTGTTTCCAAAATTTCTATAGAGAAATTTCGGCTACCTCTAAAATTAGGGCAAAAAACCATTCCGAAAATTGTCTCAAAAATAGTATTTATAGAGTAGAAGTCAAACTTCTAGAAAGAATCCAATCTCTATCTCCAATTTGAATTTCGAACCAAAATTATCCTCTATCCCTTATCCCTTGTGGCCGGCCATGCTAGGGATTCCTATCCCTATGTGTGGCGCCAATACTGGATAGGGAAGGAAGAGAAAATCATCCTTTATCCTGTAGTCCAATTTTGACTCAAATCCAAATTTCAATTTAAGTCAAACTTAAATTAATTTGAATTCTAAATTGAACAACTTATCAAATAAGTTTAAATGGATAAATCTAGATGTGTTCAAATTCAAATTTAAAAAATCACATTATTTAAATAATAATTAATTCTCAATTAATTATTTTCAAGTGTTTAATTTTCGAATTTCGTAATTCTAAAATTCTCATTTTGCCCT